CTTCCGCAGCATGCTACAGCTTCTACGTCTACTCCAGGACAACTTCTGAGGTTCTCGTGCTCCATGCGCATGCGAAGCTTTTCAACCATCACTTACCCTGGAGTCACGCTATTCAGTTCTGGAACTGCTAACGTTCCGCATCTCTTAACGACAACGTTGCATATCTTCAGGCCATTAACATCAACAAACCACCCATCCCCTCACGGCCTTGCATGTACTTGTTGAAATCCGAGGCGTACTGGGACATGTACTTCCTGACTGCCGCACATGCAGAGCCACACGAGATCACAAAAAGCGGCATTCACCACAGCCGTCTATTGCAATTCTGACCAACAGTGCAGAGGAAAAAACAACAAACAAGTGAAAAAGCTTCAAGATTGTGGCTGGAGAAGAGCAAGCTTCTGGTAGTCACCGTTGCCGCCCTGTCCCTTCATGTACTGCTGCAAATCCGACATGTACTTCTGGTAGTCGCCCCCCTGTGACCCGTGGCCCTGGCCTGCCACAAGCTACAAACTTTTCTGAAACACGTCGGCGCACGGATACAACACTGTACCATGGCCATATATGGCCATCTCCATTTGCGGCCTACGTTCTGTTGATCAAAGCTGAAATAAAGGATTGATGTTGTTATCTTCACGGCGTTTGGAGGATGTATACTGTTCAGCAGCCTCATTATAGTAGTTTCCATTCCGATTTTCCGTTATCTCCGTAAACCCTTCACCCTACATAACCCATAAAAGTAGTTTCCATGATTGGCTGATTTTCCCGTACCAGGTCCTGAGATGCAGTCCCGGGCACGGCTTGTAAGCCTGATGGACCCTCAGGCGCTGTACGTTATGCTCTCACCCTGCTTACGAGCCCAATATGTAAACGATATACACCAATGCCTGACCCTGAACGCTAAACCCCAAACCCTTAAACCCTGAACTGCTTAACCCCTAAACCCTAAACCGATGTTTGCCCCGTAGACCCAGCGCCTTGCATATACTTGTCAAAGTCCTGGGAGTACAGCGACATGTACCTCGGGCGAAAGATCACGCTAAATGATTGGCAACAAGGCTTGTTTTTTTTTAGATTGCATGTTGCAAATCCGGCCAACCTGTCTAATGACTTGCAAACAGTAAGTTTGCGGTTCTGCAGAAATGGCAGTGGAGATTACCGGGGGATAACATTGAAGCCCGTGTTGCATGTGAAATGCAAGTCTTTCATGCATGGGGGTTCACGGTGTGGGGCTTAGCATTTGGAGGTTCTCGAATGGCGCTTGGGTCTGCAAAATACGAGTGCTTGAGGTTGAGCAATGGATTCGTGGAAGGCCTCCTCAAAGCGACTAAATGCCATATTCCGTTCCCCCCAATATTAAACCCACCCCAACATGCCTGATATAAAATACTCCCAACATGCTATGATATACCACAATGGGGAGTACTTGATATTAGAGGGGGTGGAGGGTTGCATACTAGGGGAGAATATTATTCTGTGCAGAGCTAGGCACTTCTGGTAATTGCCGTTGCCGCCCTGTCCCTTCATGTACTGCTGGAAATCTGAGGCGTACTTCTGGTAGTCGCCCGAAGCACCCTGGCCCTGGCCTTCAAGACAACGAAGCTCAACATAGGGACATGCGGTGATTGCCAAAAACGGACCAAGACTACAATCGGCTTGAACTGCTGCAGCACACAGCTAAAACATCACATGGTAGTTTCCCAAAATACCAGGGCCCAAATATAGACCCAAAAACATTACGATCCTTATTCTGGGGACCCAGTAGGTACCCAAATTTGGGGACTGTCACTCTCATTATCCCAGGCCTTGCATGTACTTTTGGAAGTCCGAGGCATACTGGGACATGAACTTCTCGTAGCCACCGTTGCCTCTGCACTAACACAGTCATTCTTTCTGTGGAGCCCGGAAAAACCACAAAGGCAAATCCAAGAAAGCGAGTGATTCTCAGGAACAGGTAGGTGACCATGTGCCAACTTACAACATCAAAAAACCTATGTTCAAGAGTGCCCCAGCTGCCCTGTCCCTGCATGTACTGCTGGAAGCCGGCCATATACTTCTGGTAGTCGCCTCAAAAAGTCTCATCCCAGTTGTTTTTTGCCACATCCAGAGATTTGGGGTTTGTTGCCTAAGAAATAGTTATTCAAGTGTCCAGGACTTGTGTTCTCACAGTCGCCTCCGTGGCCCTGCATGTACTTCTGGTAGTTCTTCATGTACCTCGGCTCTCAAGAAACGCGACAAGCTTCGAGGCAAAGAATGGAAATAACACCTCCGAGTACTACAGTGACGTAGTCTCCAAAGTTTTGATTTGCCAAGGTCAAAGCCAAATTTCTTAGGACTGGCGGCCAAGCTCAAAACATAGAAGCAAACCAAGGCCACCGCAATTCCCACATACGATCCCGATTTTGCATAAATGTCCCTGCAAGCTCTGTCCCCTGTTGTGTGCACAGAAGCAGCAGCAAGACTGCCGCACTTGTGGTGGCAAGGTGCTTCTGGTAGTCACCCTGGGAGCCCTGTCCGCGAGTGTTCATGTACTGCAAGTACTGGAGGAAGCCAGCCATGTACTCGGCCATGTACATCTCGTAGTTCCCCTGGTTCTTCTGATACTGCGCGGAATACCTGGACGAGTAGTTTCCATTTTATTTTCCATTATTCCAATGTAAGCCCAATATACTCTAGTCGTTTCCATTTTCTTCTCCATTATCCCTATATAACCCCAATATATACCCTATACCCCTTATATAAGCCCTATATAATCCCTATAAACCCTAGTAGTTCCCAATTTCTTTTCCATTATCCCTATATAACCCCAACCCTAAACCCTAAACCCTAAACCCTAAACCCAAACCCTATATAACCCCAATATATACCCTATAGTAGGTATATACCCTATATATCCCCATGAACCGTCGAGGTGCAGCTCAGGAGGATGGCTACTTAACAACAGGCCAGGAAGCACCGGTAACTTCGGCTTGAAGGTACAGGGTTTAGGGTTTAGGATTTAGGATTTATGGTTCAGGGTTTAGGGTTTGGGGTTTAAGGGTTCCTTGGGGCATTGCATCCGAAGAAAGGACATGCCATCCAACACTCAGAACAGCCCACAGTCTGCGACGAGCGTGTACCCTACCCAACTCCTTGCCCTTAACTCCAACAAACGCCACAAACTGACTTCCAGGTATTCCACAAACTTAGCAAGCAAAAAACGTGTGCACAACATGAGGATTCGTTTGGGGTTCCCTGTCAAAAGGACCCAGTTGGTGGACAACTTTCATGACTTTAATGACCATGTTGGTACCCTGTTGCTTTTTGTAGGCCTAATCGCAGCCCACTACACAGATACTAGCTATTCCGGCTCTATTTGAGCTAGAGTCTAAACTCCTAGTATCCGCTTAGTAACCCCTATAATAGTCCCCTATATAATCCGTATAACACTACAAACCCCTTTAAGGAGTTTAGGCCTTACACACTTCCAAGCGGCTTCTGGTAGTCTCCCGCCGCGCCCTGGTCTGAACCCTCACCTCAATCAAAGCTCTGTTTGTTGGACAGAAGAAAATGAAAAGTACAGTACGGATGTGGTGTTGAAGTTGAGGATTCATCCCTTCATCCCTTGCAATAGAAAGTAGAAGAAAAAGGCCAAGAATTTGCACACACAATTCTACAAGGAGGCTACGTGCTCTGACCACTTTCCACATGAGCAAAGCTAGCTAGCACAAGGGCTCCAGTGACAGTAGCAGACATACTTGGAGTTCAGCATGAGCTGGAGCAACCCAATCATCTACAGCCAGATCCTATGCATAATCCCCAATGGCCATGCATGCGTGACCACCACAGTCATCAAGTGGGCTCACGCCAAGCAAAGCTCTGTGCTAAGCAGGTCCCACGAACTTACGAATGACGAGGGCCGGGTTCAGGATTTGGGTGGTCTCTGGCATGGGGTTGTGGTTTGATTTCAAAAAATGTTGTGCTGTGGGTTTTGCAAGTCTGCCGGACAAACCACATTAAGAAACTTGAAGTTTGACCCTACGATCCCTGAAAGGGCTGAAAAGTCCTGCCAGCAAGCCTGAACCAAGAACCCAGACGCTCCTCAACAAAATCACAGGCCGGACCTGGCTGGATGCCTGTTTAGGGTTTAGGGTTGGGGTTTGAGGGCTTAAGGGTATGCACAGGGGCGCTTCGAACGTTGCAAATCTCTGGCTTCTACTGCACTTCTACTAGCTCTACAGTGCTGACAATCTACTCCTAGGACCCCCCCTTCAGTCAAAATCCCCAAAGAAGCTTACTAAAGCATTCCCGTCCTCAATCCTATCCCACCCCAGCCACGGAGCCACATCGACCTGAAACTGCTTTGTATGAAACAGGACTTACAAGAGCTTGAATAGGGCCTAGGGGTCTCAACCTCGAACCCTGAAACCTAAATAACCCCCAACCCCCTTATACTAAATACCCGAGACATGGTACCGCCACAGAATCTGGGAATGTTCTTTGGCGGGTGGAGAATGCCAAACAGAAAAATTCCTACCCTAAACATCCCTAAAAGCCCTCAACATCCCTAAAAGCCCCCGACCCTGACAATCCCATCCTAAATCCCAAAACCCTACCCCGTATCCCAAATATCCTAAGCCCTAAACCCCAAAAATCCTACCCTAAACATCCCGAAGCCCTAAACCCTAAAATTCCGACCGAACCCCTCCGAAGCTCTGGCAGCCGATTCTCTGGAGGAGCTTGCTGCTTCCGGGGATGGCGCAGGGGCAGCCTTTTGAGAGTCCTCTGCCTCCGAAAGCTTAGAGGGTTCACGTAGAAGCGTTTAGGGTGTTTAGGGCCTTCATAGACTAGACTTTCCCTTGTTCAGATCATTTCCGTGCTCAAGGGAGACTTTCCTATGAAAATGCCGTACCTTGTGCATAGGCTCTAAGTGGTATGCCAGTCCTTGTGTATCTAATCTTAGACGTATGGGCCCCCTATTTGGGGTTTGATAAGTTTTGTAGAGGTTCTAGGGACCATTAAGGGTACATATAGGGTATGTAATAAGTAGTTTGGGACCGCAGGGTTCAGGACGGTTGCAACCTAAGAGTCCAATGCTTTCACTTAGGGCGGAAGCATTTATGCACAAACGTCCACAGAGCAAACCCCCAAACCCTGGACCCCCAAACCCTCAAACCCTAAAACCCTAAAACCTCAAATTCCCAAAACCTAAATCCCCAAAAACCGAAAACCCTTAACCCTAAACACTGAACCCCAAACCCCAAACCCTTAACCTTAACTGCCCTCTCTACCCCGAACCGCCTGGCCTGGTCGTCCCCGCTCGGGGAGGCGGCGAAGCTCACTGCGGAGGCTCCCTGGTTTAGGGCTTCGGGTTTAGGGTTTAGGGTTTAGGGTTCGGGTCGTAGGCTTTTGTGTTACCTAGAGGTTATATAAGGATTATAGGGTGCATATCGTAGTTATATGGGGATTACATGGGGTGGATATTGGGGTTGTATAGGGATAATGGAAAAGAAAATGGAAACTACGATGATAGGGTTCTAGGGTTTTAGAGTTTCGGGTTTACGGTTGAAGGCCTAGGTTTCAGGGTTTAAGGTTTAGGGAGTCGGGTGCGGGGTTCAGGGCTTCAAGTTCAGGAGTTGGGGGTTGAACGTTTGCCAAACCCCAAACACCAAACCCTAGACACCCCAAAGTTCCTAACCCTTAAGCGTGAAACGCCCCAGCCGCCTCACCCTGAGCTGGCACATAATCGCTGGCATAGCCGTTGGCATATTTGCCGGCGTAGTTGCCCGCGTACTTGCCGGCATAATTGCCCGCATACTCGCTGATATACCTGTCTGTTTCTTTTGAAGCCTAAGGGTCTCTGTAAAACCTCTGAAGCCCGGTGCATGTTCTCGATCATGCCCCCGATGCCCGCTATATCGTCTAATGAATGATGTAGACACGTGAGTACTAAAACCCCCTCCCCTTAGTAGGGATTAGAATGGGGGTCCTAACATTCAGAATCCTATAAGGAACAAGTTGATGAAGCGCGGCTTGTACAGCGGCAACTGGGTTCTGAGGAGCTTTCCTCGCCTTCTGATAGATCTTAGCACCTTCTCTTGCACTTCCCCGTTATTAGATACAGTACCCTTTAGCACGTCCACCCCAACCCTCCTGTCAATGCTAGAAAGCCTACGGTGAGCCCCACATATACCCTATTATATTTCAATAATTTCACTTTCTTTGCCATTGTTCCTGTATTACCCCTTATTCCCTACCCCGCGTAAACAACAAACCACCACTCCCGCCACCTAAGCGATACATATAGCCCCCTTTTAGGTAGATAGAACATGGGGTATAGAGGGATCTTATTATAACATACCCAAAGCCATATTCTATCTACTTAAGGGGGACTGTATGCGTGAGAGTTGCTTGTGGTAGTCTCCATACTTTGCGATGTAGTTTCCGTAGTTGCCGGAGTCCGCAGCCATGGCTGTGGGAAGCAAGAAGAACGCCAACATTGACGCCATGACCTCAGCGAATCTCAGGTTGAAGCCATGGGATATACCCTATGTGTACCTTTAAGGCCATACTTCTATCTTTAAAGCGAAGGACTTCTAAGCACAAAACCTCCCTGTCATTCTTAGAACTGCTACAGCCGCGAAGGAAACCCTCCGTCCCTTACGTGAACGGACCATCCTTCTTGGGATTTTCATGGCGTCTGTGAAACATGAACTGAATGTTTACAGATTTGGGCTTAGTAACTGCAGTGTAAACTCTCACTGGCGCAAGCTCCAACCCCCCTCGATATTTTCCGAAGCTCTGCAACCCCAGATTCAACACTCCCGCGGTAAGCCTCTGGCGTCGGGAAGGCCGATCTCTGGGACTACACTTGCCACTACTTGCGATCCCGTATCTGCGGGGACAACATCCTGGTAATGAGATATTTGAAATACAAACTGCCTTTCCTGGCAATACTGAAACGTTCGCAACAGCATGTAGCAGCCAGCATATGCCACCATGCGCAAACATTGATTGCCAACTTCGTGATGTTTGAAGACTGCATCACCACAAACGGTGGGAATTACACTCAGGCATCTCCTGGTTACGCAAAGCCCTGCAAGAATCCTAAGCCATATCATGCCAGGGTTTAGGGTTTAGGGTTTAGGGTCCTAAGCCATATCATGCCGTGGTCCATACCCAGACTTGTGGCATTCCTTCTAAGACAAACCGAGTGAGATTCGGCGTCTGTTTACAATGCATGCTTGGAAGCTCAAGCTAATTGCCACAAACGTATCTCCAATCCGCGACTGGTCCAGTTTAAAGCTCCATTTCAAAAAAGCAAGTTGAAGCCTTATTGGCTCTAAATAATGGTTGTTGTCACAATTTTTCTGCATCGTCATGCTGCGCAATAAGCCGGTAGAAGTGACACCCTGCTTATGCAAAAGAATCCATTCATACTGATTGTTTATAAATAGCCCCCAACTTGGGTACTGCCCACACTGAGTAACAGTTGGATAATGAATATAATATAGTTACTAGTTATTTATAGCCCTTAATAGGACCCCTAATATAGACTGTTACTGGGTGGGGAAGTACCCAACCCCCAACCCATAATGCTTAATATGGCCCGCAGTGAAACCTTTCTCTTACTGGGACTCTAGAATATCCGGGGAGGTCGTGTTTAACGTTGTGATTCCAATGAAAGCGGCTGGCTCCAAAACCCTATGCTCAACCATCCACATTTGGTACTTTCCAAAAATACGCGGACCCCCAAAGAGACCCCGAAAGACTATAATCTTGTTTGTTGGCACTCCCAAAAGGGTACCCCTAATTTTGGGAAATCCCCATTTCATCTGCGCCTGCCTCGGCAGAAGTTCAGCATGTCATGAGTCGCCAAGCCACCCCACAAAGTTGATCAACCTATAGTCCCCCATAAGTAGATAGAAAATGGCTTTGGGTATATTACAATAAGTTCCCCGTATACCCCATATTCTATCTACTTAAGGGGGGAACTAGACGCCTCCATCTCTGCTGAATTTTGCAAATCCGTAGAATGGCAGCTTATGTAACAAAAGTACTGAAACTGGTTCGCATACACTACGTGCATTGCAAGCTGTGGCATAAGGTGCCATAACAACATTCTGGTTCTTGGAAGGGGAAAATCTTGTAACAGCTGGTTGGGCAACACGGCAATCGGCCACCCGAACCTCCCAAACTCACTGCAAAATTTTGAAATCCTGTGCTTGCAATGCCCTGAACAGCTCATCTAACAACCGAATCCCCAGACTCAACAGCGGAAGCCCTAACGACCTCCCACCAATTGCATGGCCCGCCTGCGCAACTTGCTGAAAAGCCGCCTCTTGCAACTTGCACGCACGTGCAATAAAGGCAACACAAGACGTCTGCCAACAATAACCCTGGATTAAAACACGCACACCTTACACTCACCCAGACTAACATGGAACATCTTGGACCTGCCTATGGACAGCCCCTCTCAACAAACCGGATTGCTGCAAAACAGCAACCAATCGTAAACTCAATTAGACAATGGAACCTACCCTCACCCAGACTATGTAGCCTGGAACCACCGATGGACAACCCTGTTAGAAAAACTGCATTGCTGAATTGGGAGTTCCAGGATAATCCCCTGCTCATGACAACAATCTCCACCTCCCCCATCCCTTCCATAAATATGCCTTATATAAACACAAAGCCGTAATCATAATCGCAGTCCTGATCATGTGTCATGGGCATGGGTACGGGTCACCGTCATGATCATGCAGTTACGAATGCTAATCACAAGAATGCGCACCAACCATCATGCTCATTTTCGCAATCATTGAATCATAACACGCACACAATAATGAGTGCAAACAAAAACATTGTGTTCCAGAACACAGTGGAGCCGAGCTGAGCCCATTGTTGAGCAAACAACGGGCATGTGTGCGGGGAGAGGGCACGTGCGGCTTACACAGCATTATCTTTTCAGTCGCGAGCATGATACCACTCATAACAGCAACCATAACACGAGAAGTCTGACAATAAAAATTCGGTAATGCAATTGGCACTGGTGCAAGTGAGACCGGATGCGATGACAATGACAACAGAAGAACAAAAACAAAAGTAGGAACGGTAGTAGCAATGGTTCTGGCAGTTACGGTGGTGGGGTCAATTGGGAATTTGGCACAGTTGTGACAAACATGACCATTTTGTGTGACCACATGCGGGGTGGTTCATATACGGGCTACGGAAACCCATGCGTAATGTATTCTTTGTCATGTTCAGAGCTGACTTATCACCCTGGTGATCAAGCCCTCGGCCGGACATTGCAACGTCCGTGAAATGTATGAATGTACATGAAGGTCCAAAAAATATAATCATTGTGCTTACACGCATTGCGATGTACAACATAAATGATATACACTACAAATGCAAAGTTTCATGCTCGCAAGCGGCGAGCCTGTTGCTGCGCGTACAGCTGCTGGTAAGCAGCGGGGTCGTAGCCTTTCATCGGATGCGCCATTGAACACGAAGCGAACTCATCATCATGACCCATTGCACATTGAAAGCAAATCAAAGCAATTGATCTTTTGCTCACAGGCCTGTCGCCAACATGACTCAAAGCCCCCGGCCCATCATCGCGCAAAACCTTGCCGAACTCCCTGCACCTTACGTTTCTGTAGACACTCACACGGACCTCTTCTGCAACCCCGTTCCCCATTCCTCTGCACAGCATGTTTGATCATCTTGGCAGCGTAAAATACGTGTGGGTTCCAGCAAGCGAAAGAAACAAGGAAGTGGTGTGCGTGCTCGTTTGGGGAACATCTAGGTAATAAACGTCCCATGCTTGCACGAACCTGGGACAACTGGGATACCTTCCTGATGCAGGGATTATTGACGGTGATATACACAAAGGAACCCACACGTCCTCGTGCAAGAACACGATTATCTTCTGAGGTCAGTGGCTGCGTGGCTGGTAATGTCGGCGTTTCCTGCTAAGCTCTATTGCGGCCTGCTTTTCAGGCGCCGCCGTCTGAACCAAAACAGCCGGGATGTACCATGCTCAGGGTAGAGTGCAAATCTTGCATTGGATTGCTGCAAACATGCGATCGGAATTTGCCATGCCACACATAACCGCCCATACAATTCCACAAAGTACTGCATCTTGTCTTCGCAGCATGTGGCAACTAACCAATTCAGCCCGTTTGTGCGTGCAATTGTTGCATGTTGCAGTGGATTGTTGCCCACATGTTTATTTAGAGCACGTGCACCAGCCCCAGCTCAACACTGGTGCCGTGCTGTTGTGGGCAATTGCTCGGATGGCCACTTTGCACGTCACCGCGGTCACAATCAAGGAAAACGCTGCCAGCCAAATGCGCCCTTGGGAGCGGACACTTCAATGTGCCTCGCTTTCAATGTTTCGCGCAGGATCGAATTTAGCATTCACGCAATCCAGGTACACGTGACAGGTTGTTCATTGGTTTTTTTCGCCCCAACGGGGGGCCGTTTGCAATGACCTCGATGCGCCAGTCGTCCTGGCGCTCAACCACGAGGTTTAGGTCACGCAGGAGGACGTTAGTGCTGACCGTTGCTCACGGCTCGCGGCAGACACGGGCTGTTGCTGTTTTGAGGGGGATGGCCCGGGCACGCTGCACCAACCGCGTGATCCTGCCCGCCGCCCCGCCGCCCCGCAGAGCCGTATGAGCCAGTTGACCACCTTTTGCAGTGGAGCCCAAACTCCGCGGTTAATCTCCCATGCACAGCGCTGTTCTCCAACCTACGGCGAGCCAGGCGTGGCGCTATTGTTTGACACAAAGCCAAACGTATCCAAACGTGAACACTGCCCGCAACAGCAAGCGCAACATCCCATGCGTGTCACGCTGCACACAACCCGTTGAAACGTGGAAGGTCATAAGGTACATAACGTTGATTGCCTGCTTGATCAAATGTCCAATGTCGTTGAGTTTTTACGTCATGTCTGGTATGCTGTTTGTCATTTTCTTACGGACACCTTTTTTGCTCCTGCCCAGTCTGTCCACTGGTCAGCCTCCTACACCAGGCTGTCCCTGATGGGTTCATCGGCCGCCGCCCCGGCTAGGGGTCCCCCAATGGCGTTTCTGTGCCGTCAAAGGGGTCGATGTGCATGGCCGGGAGTTCCAGTAACGTGCTGGCGTGCGCTTGCAGGCCTGCAAAAAAAGCGAGTGCTATCCATTGTCTGCGCAGCGCCCGTCTGGTGGCTTCCACCTCTGCGCGCCGTAATTGCCACACCTTCGTTCACTGTATTTTTCAGCCGCTGGCTAAGTTGAGGTTTTTTTTTTTCCTCGCACCTTTTTGCGTCTGCGTCATGAGCGACGGTCGGGTGTGCATTCGGGAATGCTGCAGCGTGGTGCTCAGAGGGGCCCTAGCCTGCTTGCAGGGAT